GGAGGGGAAAGTGCAGTCAGATGTTGGTAGCGGTGGGTGTTTGCACATTTAAAGCACTTTTCAGAAAGTTGATGTTGAGTTTTAAAGAAGGCCTGGATGGATCTGGTTACAGTGCTCACAGAGCCAGCAGGGAGTTGTACTTGTCTGCACCTGACAGTGACTGAATTACCTCTTCAGGTTCTGCTAATCATCACTCGTTCATTAAAATCAGGTGTGCTGGAGCAGGGAAACCTCTAAAACCTCTAAAACATGCAGGAAAAGAGACCTGCAGGACCCCGATTGGACACCCTGTAATCCAAAATCACATGTTAATATTTATGACACATTATCTTAAATTTATCAGATGTAAAGTCAAAAGCATAACATGTTAAATCATAGTCATGTTTCAGAAACATTAAATGCTGGACCACAATGGAAATAAGCTTTATGCTTTATTGTGTTATCCATTTATGCTAACATTATTGTATATTATAAGCAGTGCCATTTAAAAAAATCTGTTTATTAGGTAGCACACTATAATTRTGAGAGGTTCATTTTCTATTCTAAGACAGTATTTTGTAATTCGGCTGTGAAAAGAGTGAAAAAATGTGCTATCCAAATTAAAACRTGTTTCCTCTCATGTTTCGACACAAACACTGATTCATCTCTTGAGTTTAGAAAGCGGTCTATGTGGTTTAAAAAAAAGAGTTAGAAACATTTCTCAGTCAGACTCCAAAGGAAAACTTAAAAACTTCAGAAACACAATAAATTAAGACCAAATTTTCAGTCAAAAAGAAAGTCTTAGAGCCTGTGAGGAAAAATAGATCCTGGACAGTTCTATTCATTAGTAAAGTTTATTGTTTATTATAAAACTGCACAAATAAAATTTAAAAAAGGAATCAAACACAAAAATCAATGAAACGGTGCATTTCCGGGTTGCGTGATGACGTCATCGTCCCTGTGCCGTCAGGCTAATCTGACTCCAGAGCAGCTAGCAGTTTACTGTCACCCGGGAGCCTTGAATATCCGTCTTTAACGACACGAAGGACCGGAAAAGAAGTCGTTATGGAGCCTAAATCTTTTTTTAATTTACAGTAAACCAGGTTTTTTTTATAAATACTTTAAACTTCGCCGCTCTGTTCGCTTTAATTTAACCACTCTGGTGAGTTTTAGCGGAGTTAACTTCGGAGATTTATGTCTAAATGTTTGTCTGCAAACACTTTAAAACTCAGCCAAACTAAGTCTGTTTGACCAGGTTTTATTTAGAAACATAACTGTCCTAAAGATAACAAACAAGTGGTTTTCTAAAATCAAAGTAATGTTTTAAAAAGAAAATATAAGTTTGTAGTTAGCTGGTATGCTAACAAAACTTTAAAACAACAACATGAAACCATATCTGGGTTATAAGTTCATAGTTTGAGATAATTACTGCGTAATATGTATTCATATTCAACAATGTTAGCTGTTAGCAGAATATAAAAACATTTAACTTGAAAAGGAGTGGGAAAAAGACAAACTTATTTACTCTCACTCCCTGTTCAAATACATAAATGATGTGGTTGTTACTGACATTTGAGATGTGATGTGTTGTGTAAATGTTTCTCTTTTCTTCTCTTCTGTTTTCATCATGATGCATTTTTCTGACTAAAACCACTGATGTCACCAAAACATCATCAAATCAATCCTGCATTTATAGATTATATGTGATCATTAAACACAGTATATAATAT